TATCAAGGGTTCAGCAGGGAGGGGGAGTTGGGAGGGAAGGGGAAAAATAAGGAGCTGATACCAAAGGCTCAAGTAGAAAGCAGGTGTTTTGAGAATGATGATGGCAACATATGTATGAATGTGCTGGACACAATTGATATATGTATGGATTGTGAAAAGAGTTGTATGAGCCCCTAATAAAATGTTTTTTTAAAAAAAATCCCTATTGTTTGGAAACAGATTCACTGAATAGGGCAAAGAGTTAATATACTCTGCTGCTAAGGGAAAGGTCAATGGTTCTCATCCACCCAGAGGTACTTCCGAAGAAAAGCCTGGTGATCTACTTCTGAAAAATCAGTCGATGAAAACCGTACATGACCCAGTTCTACCTTAACACACATGGGGTTACCATGAGTCACAATTAACTCAAAGGCAATGAGTTTTAAATTTGATAAGCACATGAATGTGGTTTTATTCAGACTGGTTATCTGACGTAATCTACTGGAAAGGAGACTGTGTGTGCACTGCAGGGCTGAGTCTGGAGAATGAAGAGCACTTTAATGTGTGCCACCCTTGGTTGATTTTTCAAAGAGAGCTCATTTGTAGTCTGTCACTGAATCACTTTCTGCTCTGTGGTTCTTACCATTAGTAGCTAAGAGGATGGTTGTTAAATACTGGGAAAGAAAGCTCAAGAATGGAATAGTTCTCATCCTGTTGATGAAATAGGGACTTCACCAGTGGGAACAGGGAATCATAAACCCTTTCTAACACGTGATCTTGCCTGTAAGTAGGAAATCAACTGCTTAACTTCCAATGTTGTGAAACCAGCTTCTCCTTCAGGTAAGCTCAGTGCCCAGAAATGCTTAAATATTAAAGAAATGAATGATTGTTGTGGTTTGATAAATCAAAGAGGCACTTTACTATTTATAAAATGATATGAAAAGACTGGATATACTTTCAGCACTTATACACAATACTTTACTCGTACACTCATACTCTATACTATTTGCTTGCCTCCTGGATGAAGGTAAGAACCGAGATATACATAAACAAAGGGAGCTGATGGGTTTTCCTTTAACTGGTGGTTGTAATTACCAATAATGGTGCTATAAGGAGCCCTGGTGGTGCAATGGTTAAGCACTCAGCTGCTAATAAAAAGATTGGTGGCTCAAACCCACCCAGCAACCCTGCAGAAGAAAAATGTGGTTGATTTGCTTCCATTACTATTACATCCAATATAAAACAGATATAGCATCTGAGGTATTAAAGGCTTAAAGTTAAACATGTGGCCATCTGGTAGAGAAGCATCAAGCCCATATGGAAGAAGCACACCAGCCTGTGTGATCATGAGGCATCGACAGGATCAGGTAACAGGCATCAGAAGATCCAAAACAAACAAAAAAACATATTTTCGAGAATGAGGGGGTTTGGAGCAGAGACTCCAAAGAAAGATATATCAACAGGTACGAAGCTCAATAAAGAAATGGAAGAGCTGAACAACACAATTGAACAACTCAACTTCTAGATATTTAGAGAGTTCTTGAGCCAACAGCAAATAAATACATTCTTCTCTAACACACATGGCTCATATTCAAAAATAGACCACATGCTGGGCCAGAAAGCAAGGCTGAGAAAATTTAAACATATAGAGATCATTCAAACCACTTTCAATGAACACAGTGCCATAAAACTGGAAATTAACAATAGATAGAATTACACAAACACACACGGAGACTTAATAACATACTACAAAAAAAAGACTGGGTAATAGCACAAATAAGAAAGGAAATTAAGAAGTTCCTAAAAACTAACGAGAATGATAGCACAACATATCTTAAGACAGCACCTCCAACAACTAGAACATAGTCAACAGCAAAAACCTTCCAGCAACAAAAGAAAGAAAATCATAAACACTACGCAAGAAATAAATGAGTTGGAAAACAGAAAAATGATGGGGGAAAATAACAAAAAGTCTGTGCTTTGAAAGGGTCAACAAAATCAACAAACTGCTAGCAAACTTAATGGAGAAAAAGAGCAATGACAAGGTCTAAAATTAAGGAGGAACAGGGGGCGTCACAGCAGACCCAAATGAAGTAAAAAACTCATAACGCGGTATTACAGAAGACTGTATTC